ACACACTTCCTTTTTTCAGAAAAGATACATGTTTTGTGTTCCTGACTTTGCTGCACTCTATATGCATGGTAAACGGAATGATGAAAGCAAATGATTGTGTTTCCTAGTAAGTTCCCTGAAACAGAGATCCACAAATCTAATATGAATCTCCAGAAATGCAGTTACTTCTAAGCTTCAGTATTCTGGAATACATACAATAAATGCATGATTAATGAAATGAAAAAAAAAAGAAGGCATAAATTCTGTACTTTAAAAGGCATAGTATAAATAGTAGTTACCAGATCATATTTAACTAACTGCATTAAATTATAAAATCAGCGAGGCCCGTAGAAGGCTCAGTGATAGAGTGCTTGGCCTGTTTTGGAAACAACTTGGCTTTGATCTCCAACACTGAAAACAGAAGTGAAGCTTGATTGAGCCTACCGTGTTCCCACATCGTATGACACAGAACACTGTTTAGGCGATTAAGGTATTGCTTTAGTACAATACCGAGGGGAAATACCAGTTTGGAAAACCATGGTCTTTTCAAATTCTCTTTAATGGGTGAGAAACTGAGGGGCCCTAGGTTTGATTCCTTCCCAGCACCCCAAGCAAGTTTACAGTGTGTCGGGAGTGCAGGGTTGTGGTAGAATCTTACCAAACATGACCAGTACCACTAAAACAAAACATAACTAAAACTGACACCAGATCGCACACAGTAGCAGGATTAGAGTGGCCACACCTGGTTAGCAGCAAGAGGCAGAACTTTGAACTTTCACTTTCTATCCTCAGACCACAGTTGTTTCTACTATTTAAATTATAAAATAGGTTTCTTGACTACAGACAGTTAAGCCATTAATTTAGCTTAACATTTGGGTCACAGTGTCACATTTTCTGGTTTGTGTTTACTTTAGTGTTTTTGATCCTTTATTAAAAACCGGAGTTCCCAAAAGGAGGTACACCTGGAGATCTGAGGAATGGCCCAGTTTAACTAAAAGTAACCATTACAAGAGGCCTTCAAACTACCTGGGCTAGAATTTACCTGTAACTTCTGTCAGCTCAGCGCAATCCAGGGGTTGACGACCAGGTGAGTTACTTAGCCCATAATGACGGCCTATGTTATCCATGAAAGGCCATATTAACTTGAACAAATACAACCTTAAAATGGCAAGAAGTTAACCCTTGTGTAAAGAGCCAGCACCGCCAAAATGAGAAGTTTTGTCTCCGTAGAGCTATGAAATGAGGGAGATTCTTGGATTGTTCTTACCCCCCCCCCCAAAAAATGTGCGTTTTGCCAATAACCTGTAAATCTGATTTTTCTTGAACTCGCCAGGACTCTGAAGATAACGTGAGTAAACCAACAGGATTTACTTGGCCAGGAGAAAGTACAGCGGCGTGCCATTCCCGCCGCCTCGGGGTAGGGAGGGGAGAAGGGGTAAGTATGGGTATGGTGCAACTTTCAAAGCCTTGGGAATCAAAGGTGAGGGCTGTTAACAACTTCCGTGTGCCGGCCGCACTTCCTCTCCGTGGACTTGGCCATGCTTCCTAACCCTCCGCACTGGCACATCACAGGGGCGGGCCCGGCGTCGCCTCTATCAGAAAGGGGACCCACCGGGCCGGCGGGGCGACGCGGTGGCTGGAAGCCTCCAACCACGACCGGGGCGCCCGCCCAGGTGTCGCCAGCTCCCCGGCCCGGCCCGGCCCGGCCGCGGACGGGTCTCGGGGTCCCACCCGCCCGGGTCCGAGCCCCGCTTCCCCCGCGGCGGGCACAGGTGGGGGCCGGGTGGCGCCACCGCCACCGCCACCGCGGGCCCGGAGACGCCCTCCCGAGCCGCGCCGCACCGCAGCTCGCCGCGCGACCGCGCCGGGGGCGGGGACGCTGTTACCTGCCGCGGGCTCTGCCGCTCCCCGCCGGCGCCGCTCTCCTGGCAACCGCGGCAGCCGCACCGAGGCCGCCAGCCCAGGGCCTAGTGACAGCTACCAGCGTGCACCGCGCGCGCCCACGCCGGCGTCGACGTCGGCGGCCTCGATCCCGCCCCCCCCCACCCGTCCGCCCGTGCTAGCTGGCGCCACAGCGCCCTCACGCGGGCGATCGTGAAGGTGGCAGCGAGAAAGGCGGGTGCACCGGTTTTCAACCAGCCTCAGTTTGAGGGATAGGTGAGATTGAAGACAGCTTTGCAGTATTATTTAAGTACGATCCAGAGGGTCCATCAAAGAGCTGGTGCTGCATGCCTTTAATTCCAGCCCTCGGGAGGCACAGGCAGGCGGATCTCTAAGAGTTCGAGGCCAGCTTGGTCTATGGAGTGAACTCCAGAATAGGCTCCAGAGCAATACAGAGAAACCCTGTCTTGAAAAACCAAAACAAACAAACAAACAGAAGATCCATCAATACTTATACAGTAAATACGGTAATTTCAGGCTCACAGTCTGTGTGAAGTTGAGAGACAGTTTAGCACTATTTTGTGTCTAGAATTATTTCAAACATACAGTTACTCCTCCAAAGAGTTTTGTCTGAATCATAGCATAGCATCAAGAAGAGAAACCCTGTCACACACACACACACACACACACACACACACACACACACACACACAGAGAGAGAGAGAGAGAGAGAGAGAGAGAGAGAGAGAGAGAGAGAGAGAAAGAGAGAGAGGAGTAAGAAAAATTTTTCACAAGTATTTTTGTGTGTACATGTTTTAAGCCACTTATGAGGAGCATACTTTTACGAGAATGCTGTGTATTTCACTATGTGTCAATGTTTAAGCATTTTTACATTAAGTGTTAAAAGTGGAAGAAGACAACTGTCCTTCAAATAAATGAGTTGACACCGAAGATTAGTAATTTTTGTTTCTTCAAAGATTACTTGTATTTGATGTGTGAGAGTGCTTCCAGGTATGTCTGTGCGCCCGTAGCCCAGAAAGAGTTGGATGCTCTGGAACTGGAGTTATGATTATGGAAGAACAGCAAGCCCACTCTCCAGTCCCCAGCTCTTATTTATTTATTTATTAGGTTTTTCAAGGCAGGGTTTCTCTGTGTAGCTTTGGAGCCTGTCCTGGAACTCACTCTTGTAGACCAGGCTGGTCTCAAACTCACAGAGATCCGACTGCCTCTGCCTCCCTGGGGCTGAGATTGATGGCATGCACCACCACCACCAGCTTATTTTTGTTGAACTCACTCCCACCCATGATTTCAAATTGTTGGGATGAAATGGGAATTTATGCAACAACATGGTCAACTTGAAGTGCCTCAAAGGGTAATCAGAAAACTTGTCTGAGTTACTTGCCCCGCCCACGTGGTCTGTTGACAGGGACCCTGAGGGAGGGAGTGAGAATGAGGGGGACAAGAGACTCGAGAGATGGAGACAAGACAGTGTTCTAATCACGTCTCGTTTAATGAATAGAACCTCAGGGTTTAAGTAGTGGAGCAATGAGGGAATGGGCCAGAGGGAGGATGTGAGGGAGGCAGAATGTCCTTCCAAGCAGGATGCAGGTGTTCTGCTATAAGTTGCTATACGATAAGACTGTGGCTGAGACTCTTTTTCAGGGTCAGGCTGCATCATATGCTTAACAGAAAACAGTCATAGGGGAATGAAAAATTACCAGTATGTTAGTATCTCAGAGAGTAGTAGGAAAGGTGGCTGTTGGATGCTCTGGGGTTACTGTTCTTCAATATACTGAGGGCTGTTGTGTTCTGAGGCAGGGTCTTGCCACATAGTTTTTTGGATGGCCCTGCATTCACTATATAGCCCAAACTGGCCTTGACCTTGCAGCAATCCTCCTGCCTCAGCCTCCTTAATGCTGGGATTACAGGTATACACCATAATGCTTGGCTTAAAGAATTTATTTAGAAATGCTTCAGGTTTGCTGTGTGGTAATTATGGCTATGAAATTATGAAATGGAACAACAATAAATTGGATTTTTGTCCTGGCTAGTTTTAAGTCAGCTTGACACAAAATAGTCGTCTGAAAGAAAAGAACCTCAACTGAGACAATGCCTCCATAAAATCCTTGTAAGGTATTTTCTTAATGATTGACTGGCAAGGACCCAAACCATGGATGGTGGTGCTATCTCTGGGCTGATGGTCCCGAGTCCTGTAAGAAAGCTGGCTGTGCAAAGCCATGGATTCTGCATCAGTTCCAGCCTCCAGCATCCTGCCCTGTTCTGAGTTCTTTCAGTGAACAGTGCTGTGGAAGTATAAGCTCAATACAACCTTTCCTTCTCAAGTTTCTTTGGTCATGGTGTTTCATAACAACGGTAACCCTAACTAAGACATTATACTAGCTATCATTGATTTAAGCAACAGCCTTTCATTTCTAAAGAAGTCCTATTGAAATTCTATGGCCTGATTGATGTATTTGTTTAATACCATACCTTATCCTTTACTGTGCCAAACTTTAAAAATGTATCTTGTAGTAGCAATGAAATCATGACTTTCATGAGTCTTATTTCTGCAGTATAGTGGGTGTGTACATCAGCAACTACTCATTTTCTTTTTGCTTCTCTTAAGTTATATGAATGATTAGTCCCTCAACTCAAGATACTAGACTCTACCCACTGTGTTTTCATGGCTTACAGAAACCTTACTTAATCTTTCACAATCGTTTCATCTTGGAGCTATCATATCTTTGACATTTTGGTTACATAGGACATGGAAGCTAATAAACAGTCCTAGTTCCAAAAAGTGCAGTCTCAGATAAAGTGGGCCATGGGACTGCCATTCAGCTCTGGAACTGGAGAAAGTACCCATCTCTACTCTCTCTGTTCCATTATCTTCCTCGTCCCTACCCAAGCCATCCGGAGGAGCCCCCACCCCCAACTCCTCCCCCAAGTCTGAGCTTTCTGCTCATTTCTGGGAGAGAAGTGCTCAGATCAAGCCATCCCTCATCTCACAGAGGAGGCCAGCTCTGCTCTGTGTCCCCCTGTCCTAGAAGAGCAGGGTTGGGGGAAGGTGCACTCCAGGGTCGGGCGCCTCTGCAGTGCGTTCTCCGCCCGGAAGGCGGCGCTGTAGTCGACAGACGGGACCGCCGGATCCCACCGGGCCACCGCGCTGCCACCGCCCGGGAGCCGCCTGCGACACGTGCTCCCACTCTGTCCGTGTTCTGGGAACTGCGGGCTCGGTCTCGCGTGCGGGCCTGACTGGGCCATGGCGGTGGCTGCGGCGGAAACGCGCGTGTTCCTGGAAGTGCGGAGACGGCTACAGAGCGCGCTGCTAATCCTGGGGTAAGGGCGGAGGCGCCGGGGCTCGGGGCCGCGTGTGCGAGCCAAGCGCGTGACCCAGGCTCCGGTGCACGAGTGCGGGGCGGGAGCGCGGGACGGAGGGGGCGAGCGCGCGTGGCCGCAGGCGCGCGCGCGAGACAATGTGCGCGTGCGCTGGACGTGATCGGTGGCCAACTTGGATCTTTGTTTGCCTGGAGAGCGCTGTAGCCACCGAGCCGCCTCCCCAGCCTGTCTGCAAATTTTTAATTTCATATTTACTAGACACACTAGAAACTTGGAGGGGAAAATGCACTTTTTAGCTTAGGGTTAGCAATTTTAATGGTTTGTGATCTCTTCATAGGTTTTGCCCATTTCTCTGTGACAAGTGTTTCAAATAGATATAGGTCTGAAAATCTGTTATAGAACAGCACTATATATATATATGTACCTATATATGTATGTATATATATATATATAGCACTATATATGTGCGCGCGCGTGTGTATGTATGTATGTATGTATGTATGTATGTATTTTTTTCCTCTGTTCTGAAATCTGCCAAGTAGTTAGAGTGGCAGTTTTGGATATGGCCTGAGAACTATGTTTGAATATTAGCTTCCTCACAAGAGTAGAATATTTTTATCTTAATTTCCTCAGTTTTAAGATTGGGATTGAGTATAGGCTCCGTGCAACTCATTTGCCTACCACGTACAGGCTCTGAGATCTCCGAGATAGGTAAAGAAAGGAGTGGGGTCATAATTTCAAACAAATATCTGCAGTCTCTGTCCATCTCATTTGGTAATTAAGAGTACAAATGTTACCAAATACAGCCCCCCTATACCCCATACAAACAAACAAACAAAACCCTGTAAACAAGTTAAGAAACTTATGTTGCTAGACAGCTTGTTTGTGGTGTTTTGACTGTTGACCTTTGACCTCTAGCACCAGTCACTTCCCTTAACTCTAGTAACACTCATGGTCTTCATTCAGCCACTCCACAGTGTCACTGTTTCTTGACCTGTGTTGACACGTGTATTAGTCAGGGTTCTCTAGAGTAACAATTTACTCTACATACAGAAAGGGGATTTATTAGCATGATTTACAGGCAGGCTGCAGTCCAACAAATTCAACAGTGGCTGCCTATGAATGCAAAGTCCAAGAATCCAGTAGTTGCTCAGTGCATCAGGCTAGATGTCTCAGCTGGTCTTCAGCATTACTTAGGAATCCCAAAGAAGTAGGCTCTAATACCAGTGAAGGGTGAATTTGAGAGCCAGGGCAACTAGGCAAAGAGCAAAGAGATTCCTTCTTCATGTCCTAATAATTGGCTTCTAGCAGAATGTGTGGCCCTGATTAGAGGTGGCTTATCCCAGCTCAGATCTGGGTAAAGACATATCTTCTACCTCAGTAGTCTGGATTAGAAGTGAATCTTCCTACTTCAAATTCAGCAAAAGTTGCTTACAGGTGTATACTCCATTTGGGGATTTTAGTTAATTCCAAATGTAGCCAAATCTTTCACAACATGCATTAGTTTTTGTTTCTATCTGCTTTCCCCAAAACTTTTTTTTTTTTTTTTTTTTTTTTTTTTTTTGAGAGCCCATCAAAGACTAGTATAAGTTACTATGTAAACCAGGTTGGCTTTGAACTCACAGAGATCTGCCTGCCTCTGCCTCCACATCATTGGGAACCTTCAACAAGGCTTTGAGATTCATGGTTCATCTGTGTTGTTGCTTGTATTAGTATTCCTTTCCTGTGTCTTACTGAGTAATTTCCCATTGTCTGGATATTCCACAAACTCATTCTTCTATTGCTGGATGTTTTGTTTATTTTCAGAAATTTTATTATGAGTCAGATGCATTAGATTTGCGTTATAAGGTTTGTGTGTGTGTGTGTGTGTGTGTGTGTGTGTGTGTGTGTGTGTGTGTGTATGTATGTGTGATGGGGGCTGGGTGTTGGACCTAGGCAAGTGCATTTGCTACTGAGCCACACTCCCAGCCTTGTTTAATGTCTTTTTTGGGACATATAAATCCTTGGATTAATACCTAAGGGTGAAATTACTGGAATATAGGATAGATGTATGCATTGCTTTGTGAGAAACTGTCAAACAGTTCTCTAATGTGGCCAATCTCTTTCTTTGGTTTGAGCCATTTTAATGTGTATAAAGAAGTATTTCATGGTGGTTTTTCATTTCCTTGCTGACTTAAAATGTTGAGAACTTTTTCATCTACTTTTTGATAATCTGAGTGTGTTAGTTTGTAAAGTATCTTATGGTTTCTAAAGAATAAAAACAGGTTAATCTTTAGCTAATAAAAACGGGTTAGTCTTGTTGCAAGTTGAAACAGCTTAGAGCCATATGTGTAAAGTATGTGTGGATGTCTTCCTGCTTCTGTGGCAGGCATTTTTGTTTTCCTAATCCGTGTTGATTCTACCTTATTGGAAAAGGTAGTGGGCCTGAAATGATGCTGGACTTTTCTAGGGTTTGTAGTATTTGCATAGACTTGTTGAGCATCCCTAGTCTGGAAATGCAAAATACTGTGGGTCTTATTCATTTACCTTCCAGAGCTTCTTGGCCTTTGGCTTAGGGCTATTTGGTATGTTCTGTCTTTTGATGAGCAGAAATTTAAATCTTAATGAAACCCAGTCTCCCTGTCTTTTTTAAACAGCCTCTTCTAATGTCTTAAATCCTTTTCTGCCTCAACACTGTGAACCCTTACACTCCCACCCCAGGTTTCTTTTACCGGTGTCTCTATGTAGAAATGGGTATTGCTGTGCTAGCCAGGCTGTCCTTGAACTCCTGGGCTTAACGGGACCCCTCCGCTTGCCTCAGCCTCCCGAGTCTCCAGGACCCTGAGCGCGGCTGACCCTGTGCTCCCCTTTTCCACATTTGTTTTCTAGAAGTGTCACCAGTTTTATTTTGTTTCTATCTTTGGCATATTGGATTAATTTTTGTGTGTGTGTTCACAACAGTGAAGTCAAATGACCTTTAATTATGACTGTAATTTTCTCATTGGATAGCTTAAGATCTGTATGAGAAATCAGTTCCCTACACTGTTTGCATGAACATCCCTTCCTGCCTTTATACTTTAAACCTGTGTCTTTATAAGTGATTTTTTTTTTTTCAAGTAGCATATAGTTGAGTGTTTTTGCCCATGGAAAATTTGACAACCTGTGTATTCACTAAAATTTTTAGTGGCAATGGGTGAATGAACAGTGGTCAGGAAATTAAAAACCAAGCAAAAACCATAAAATAAAATACTGAATAGAGGGAACTACCTGGAAAAATACAACAAAGAAGAGGGTGGAGAATAAGTCTCTTATTCAATGAGATGCCAAGTGGAAGGAAACATATCCAAATGGACCATTGGGAGAGACGGAAACTGGGAGGGGTGGGTTCTAGTTAAAGTACCCTTTGCTCTTTTTGTTTCCTGACCAGCAGCTTTCCTTCAGGCCCAAAGCAACAGGCCTAAGAGATCATGGTATTGTAATTTAAAAAAAGCATCTCGAGGAAGATTCCATGTGGTGGAGTTCAAGCGGAGGGTTTTTTTTTTTTTTGTTTTTTTTTGTTTTGTGTGTTCTTTTTTTTTTTATTATTAAGGAAAAAGGACCCTTAAAAGAGAAAAGGGGGGGGGGAGACTAGCTTCCAGAGACAAGAGCGGTGGAAGACAGGAAAGAGAGGGAGAGGAGGGAGAGAGGAAGAGAGAGAGAGAGAGAGAGAGAGAGAGAGAGAGAGAGAGAGAGAGAGAGGGAGAGAGGGAGAGAGGAAGTGGGCAGGGCCCTTAAAAGGGAACATAGTGACTAGGCACAGGTGGTGCTCTTAGTGGCAGTAGCTGAAGGTGTATCCTGTCAGAACTCCAAAGTCAGGTTAGTACAGATGCCTAAATACTAACATGCAGACTGAAATGACTGCAGCTGGAGATAACTTGAACACTTCTTCTTTTAAAGTTGCTTTTCTCGGGTATTTTTTCACAGTGACAGGAAGCTGACTAATCTAGCGCTTACTGATCTCCAGTAACAAAATAGCAAAAGGTCTTGATTTGCAGCAGTCGATGATTTCTGTGGTGTAAATATTTTCACCACGATGCCATTTAGCCTGCAATATTTGCAGTTTCCCTGTTATTTGTACATCACTGAATCTTACAGGACATCATGAAGTTGCTTTTGGCTTTTCAGTGAGATAGCTTAAAGGAGGGTATGACCCCTTAATAGCAATAGTAAGAATTCTCAAGAACAATGGCCAAAGCCACCAATGTTAGTGTTTCAGCAGAGGACACTTGACTTCCCTGTTTCCTTCCCTCTTTACTTTGCTGCATAGCAGTATGGTGTGGGCTCATCTCTCTCTTTTTTCTTTCTGCTCTAGTCCTGGTGTAGTTTCCCTTAAGGAACCATATTGTTTTGCTTTTAAAAACAATTTTAAAAATATTTACTGGTTGGGTGGGACAGTGCATGCCTGTAATCCCAACAGTTGGGATTTGGAGGTCATGTCATTTATTACATAGTGAGTTTGAGGCTGGATTGGGCTACATGAGACCTTGTCTTAAAAAGTGTATGCATGTGAGTGTGTGTGTGTGTGTGTACATGTGTACAAATACGTACTGGGAATCTAGTGTAGGGCCTTGAATATGCCAAGACTTCTTTTTAAATGGAAATTGTCTTTATAAGCTGCGATTTGATGCTCATTACTATTGGAATGTTGTTTCTTTCAGAAACAGGATATATAGATGTCGTACATTGTTGACTTATCCATGTACATACATTCACATCTATTTATCGATGTATCTGTGTATATCCTAAACCATGATTTCATAGAGGTATCCCTAGTTCTAGTCCACTGCCACAGGGTGCAGGCTAGCTTTCTCCCTTTTCCCCATGTAACTGTATTCTTTTGAAGTACAAATCCTGGCCTTCATTAGCTCACGACATTTATCTCCCTGTCAGTCCTCTGCACAACCAGGATACTGCCGGGTCCTTTACTGTTTCCTCTTCTCCCCTCTGCCTGCTGTGACCCTCTTCTAGCCCAAATGCTTGTGTCCTCTTCAAATCTATGGTACTTAAATTTCAAATCCTCAGAGAAGTGATGTTTGGAGGCCAGGCCAGGCCTTTGAGAGGTCGTTGGGTTTCTGTGAGGTCATGGGAATGTCGCCTCTAGGATAAAGGTAATACAAGAAGAGGGAGACAGACACCCTGAGAGCTGCCTTCCTACATATTATCTTATAGAGGCCATGTGGTTTATGGTACTTCCGGTCTCCAGATGTGCAAGTTCAGCATCTTCAGGATGAAACTCGATACAAGAAGACTTACTTCTGTATTTGTGTGCAAGCTTTTCTCCCTTGCCATGCCCTCCTGTTGACATACAGAACATCTTTTCGGGGTGTTATGTGCAATGAAGACAGTGCTTTCTGAGGTTTGCTCAGCTCTGTGTAAGTGGTAGAATTTTCAGAACTGGGCAGAGGAGTAGTTAGCCAGAGCACTGGCAGGAGGACTCGAGTGCTCATTGGGTTCTTTGGGAGCACTTCTAAGTGCCAGATGTGTTTTAAAATTACTGAGGTAACAAAGTGGACATCAAACTACATCTCTAAATGTGGTCTCTTTTGGCGCAGCCTGTGAGCCAAGAGTTGTCCTTTTCTGTTGTTTGGGGTTTGTTGTTGTTTCAGAAAGTCTCAGTGTGGATCCCAGACTGGTGGAGAACTTAGGAAATATTTACTCTCTGCCTTTTTGCAGAAAGCTGGCTGGCATCTGTGTTTCCCTATGAACATCTTGCATATCAGTTAAAAATACTTTGATTTCCTGACTTTAATGCTGATCTCAGAAACAAGAGTTAAATTCATGACCCAGGACTTCCACAGGGTGCCAGGCTGTGCTGCTCTAACCTCCTCTAGTTATTTTCCCAGGGTTGCATCTTCCAGAACAGGGACTTTTGGGTCTCCATGGGAGAGAAGTAGAGAAATGCTGGGTTAAGTTTTTGCTTCTTCCACGGAGTGTGAAATGTGGAATTTTCCTTAAGCACAGAGAAGTAATTAACTTTTTTTTTTTTTTTTGCATTGTCAGTGAGCCAGATGAAGGAGGGATGCGCCTGGACATTTCTATAATGCCCACCTCTCTCTTAATGCGAACCCCTGATGGCTGCACCGAGATCCAGCTTCCAGCAGAGGTCAGGCTTGTGCCTTCCTCGTGCAGCGGCTTGCAGTACATCAGAGGAGATGGGTTGCATCTGCGTCTGCAGGCCCATACTGAATCGAGCCCAGGTGAGTAGGAACAGCACTCCAGATGGATGTTGATATTCGCTGAGTTGAATTTTTCCCAGATGAAAAGACTGGCAGTCAATGAGCTGGAAGGGCTAAAGGATTGAAACGCTCCAGGGTCTTGATCCACTCTGCCAGTTACCAGTTGTGCGATGTGAAACATGTCACATCATCACTTAACTTTTCCGAAACTTCACTTTTTAAAGTATACGTTTAAGAGCCCAGTTTGTTTCCTTAATCATAAATTTCTGGGTAAAATCATAAAGCAGTTGTCCAAAACCTGATTGGTTTTAAAACATTGCATAGGTATGTATTCCCTCAGCACACAGGTTAGCTCAAAATTGGTATGAGCCGTTTGATATGGGTGCTGGGAACAGAGATGCCAACAAGCCACAGAAGCCTCTGAGATTGTGGAGTGTATATTCTAATGGGCGGGGACTTCGGATGCTGACCACATAATTTGCACACAGCAAAATGCTGTGGGTAAAGAAGGCCAAGTAATGGCATGGGGAGTAATGAGTTTAGTGATGGCAACACGAGGGTGAGATCATTTGACCAGAGAACTGAGCAGCGGAGAGAATCCCATTGTGCAGAGACCATTCTAGATGGATAGTACATGTAGAAAACTCGAAGTTGCATGTGAGGAATAATAAATATGGTGTTGTCATTGGAGTGGTTGTAATTGCAGTATTTGTGATTGTATACAAACTCATGTATATGGATACGGATAGGTGATTAAAAAAACTTATTTTTGTAAGATCTTGTGTTTTTTTTTTTTTTTTTTTTTTTTGGATACTGGCTCACAATGTCATGAGTGCTGGGAATCCCCACTGGAGGAAACGGAGTTGATGCTTTGTATCAGAGAAAGGCTTTGTTCTTTCTATTACACTGAGGCATCATTGCTGAACTGTCTTTAATAAGTCCTTCGTCAGAACATTGTGGAGCCTGGAGCTGGGACAACAGGATTGTCCTAAGAAGCCTGTAAGAGATGTAAAGCCATCCTCTGGCTGTGGAAAGTCAGGAAAAGATCCAGGGAATGTCACCTATTCTATTTCCCAAGACTAATTTTACTAATGTTCAGAATTAGTGAATATGTAGAATCCATTTTAGAAACAAGGGACAGAGAAAAGAGATGTCATGCCACGCCCAGATTGACATTGAATACTGGAAAGCAGGGCGAGGTCACCAGGATAGGAACGTAGACCAACTGCCTCCCAGACTGTACCCACATTCTGGGGTGGAGGGGCACAGGGGGATGTCATCACTTTCCTGTTGGCAACAATAACCACAGCAGGAATTTCCTGTTGAGTTTGGAAACTGGCAAGCAGCAGGCTGAGAACCACCATGTTTTCTAGGACTCTGGTAGTAAGGATAGAGGAATGGGGACATCCAGGGTGTGTTGCCCACTCATATTCTCTGACTTATTTTTAACATTTTAAATTAATGAGCAACATTTAATTCTGACTGTGGATACAATGAATCCACTGCTGTGTTGGTTTTCTTACCATTTGTGTTTGTTGGACTCTTTCTTTTTATGTTTGAAACATTTTGCTCAAATACCCGGGAAGGGAAATTCTCAAAGCCTGTTCTGTGGTGCATTCAAGGCTCTGTAAAACTGATTCTTTCTGTCTTTAATTGCTTTAGTGCTTTCTGCAGAATAGGTGGGGAATAAGGATTTGCCACATGAATGATTATCAGGTGGGCGCATACTGGCATGCACTGAAATCTAAGTGTTGTAGGAAGCAACTTTTGGAATTCTTAGCATTCACTTGTGTCTCAAGGTCTTAAAGAGTTAGTTGCCTTTTCAACGTTTAGGGAGCAACCATGACACAATCACTCTGGCACTTTGTTCTGATGTTGATGTAGATAAATAGTGACCTCTGAGGTACAGCACATTGATCTGTTAATCTTCCCAGCAGCAGTTCCCAGCCAGGATTCCATACTTGACTTATGGCCAGCAGAGGGCAGTGTTCCACTGAAAATTGATTTGTTCTGCAGTGTACCTTGGAGAGCTTACCTGGGTCTTCTTTAGGGGGTGCTCTGTTTGACCTTCATGTGGGAGGGATTTGCAGAGACACTGAAATTAAACTGAAGACTTTTTTTTTTTTTAATTGTGAGGACTTCAACTTTCTGGCATCTTCAAAAGCATTTTAAACTGCACACAAAGTAACACCAAGCAGAATCTATTGCTTGCTTATAATAACTATGACCTCCTTTCTTCAATTAGGGTTTTTTATAGAAAAATAACCCAGTGGTGTTTTCAAAAATAAGAATTTCCTTTATTTACAAATGAAACATCAGAAATGAGAGGCACAAGCTATCTAGTGCCACTGGATGGGCAATCTAGACTTTCTCCACAGCTCTCAGTCTCTATATCCCCTCCCTCTCATCCCCATCCCCCACAGTTTCATCAGACCCCGGATTTCACTCCTGGATAAAGAAACTCTTAGCGTCTTTGCATTACTTGGACCTGCTCCTCAGAGACCAGTCTGGATGTCCATTTTGCTTGCTTGTACTGTGTAACATGCAGGGGGTGGATAGAAAACTTAACCATAAAACAAAATCCAAATTGAACTTAAAGTTTAGTCTGCACTCATTGTTAGTATAGAATTTCTCATATTTATAGAAATGAGAGAGGAAACCCACCAGTATGCTACACGGTAATCTAGGGCAACGCCTGGCTCCGGAATACTAAGCAAAATCTGTTGTTTTTGGAAACACTTCACAATGTTTGCTTCTGATTGAGTCATCGGATAGTGCTAATTAAGCCTATACTTTTGAGTAAATCATAAACAGTGTGTTGGTGGTAATTTATTGTGCTAGTAAATCCTTTAAACATGATATATATAATATGTTTGTTTCAAATCTCTAAGACTTGCTGTTTTGTTGGTTTCCTCTAGAACTGACTTCGGTGTTTAATCAAAGCTTGCAAGCCCAAGAATGTTGCACATTTTATTGCCAATCCTGTGGTGAAGCCACGATAAAGGACAGGTAAGCAACGTATTGATTGAGCACTGATTAGAACTGTGCCTGGTGATGGCTTCTGGAAGCAATTACCAAGGGAATGGTGGGGCCCTTAAAATGAGAGCCAGCTTAGTGTCACTTTGAACTAAGTGAACCCCAACTCCCACCATGATCATGGAGGGGAACATAGTGTTGTCTGTGGAAGGAAGCTGGTCTTGGTGGAGGAGCCTGGACTAATCACTGAGCAGAGAGCCATGGAGTCCTTTTTGTTCTGATGGTGTGTGTTTCCACAGTTAGTGAATTTTCTACCTGCAGAATCTGTGCGGCAGGACTTGATCTGAGCTGTTTCCATCAGGGCCTTTGTAAAACCCATTTCCCAGCCCCCTGCTTATTAAGATGGAGCATACAGAGCACACATTACCCCTTTCTAGGTGATGAGGTTAATCTTGTAACCTGCTCTGGTGATGTGCTGTAATTACTCTATGGAGAAAGGAAGGGCTCTTTGCTACTTTCTTAGCATTCCCAAGTTGGCTTCTTCATTTTCTTCTTGTTTTCCTCTTCCTCAAATCAGCATTCTGGTTCCTTGGGCATAAATGCTTCCTCTGAAGTTTCATCTTCTAGTGACCCATGTAGAAGAGAGATGAGTACATTATTACTGTTAGCAGTTTTTAAAGGATGGATTCTTGGATGGATTTTCTACGTTGGGTACCTGAGACAAACAAATGATGCTTCCTTTCTGAAGCCTGCTCCTCTTTCAATGTCTTGGGTTCCATAATGCCAAACCTCTGTCTAGCAGATCTCTTCCTGATCCCCATACATCGTCACCATCACTGTGGCCATTGCCGTTAGAGTGGAAATCACTTTCCCCTGCCCACTGTCTCCTTACCTAATGAAACTCATCTGTCGGCAGCCTACTGTGTGCGCAGATACACTGTCCCACCACTAGTAGGTGTTCTAAAGCAGGTTATTCTTTCTGAGTGGAGAGCTGGAGTCCTTGGCACCCCACAGCAGCTCCCCTGTACTCCCCAATTTTACTCTTCCTTTAGTGTTCTCCCTCCTCACCAAGCTCACAGGTATCACGTGGCTCAGGCCATGCTAGCCTTGGCAGCTCTTCTTCACCCTGAGGCTGCCTGAAAGCTACTCCCTTTCTTGGATGCATCCCCTTTTCCTCCACCTCCCGGATCACACCAAACTAAGCTTCAGAACTCAGCTGACAAGGCATCCACTACTTTGAGGCCTTGTCTCCCTCCTGAGCTGCATTGGATACCCTTCTGAGGTCCATTTGCCTGACTTCACATAGTGTGGGCTTGAGGATAGCCTCACTGACTTCCGTGTCCTTTATTCCTACTCTCTTGACTATACCATATAGAGCTGTAGCCAGCACTGGTAAGATGGAGTTTTCCATTCACCATCCACTAGCTCCGTGATCTTGGATAAGTTATTTAATTACTCTCTTCCAGTGTCCTTTATGAGAAAATGTAGCTAGCAATAGGCCTTATCTCATAGTGCTGTTGGTAGGATCTGATGATTCAAGTGCTTCCAGCGTACAGGGTCAGCATTCACCATGCACAGGCAGCTATTGCAGTAACCTTATTCTTACCAGCTCCTCAGTCAGCATCAGGCATGGCGCCTACAGAAAAAGTATGTTCTTAGTAAGTTTTTGCCGGGTTTAATGTAGTAAAGCTTGGTGTGTTTGTTTTGGCTTCCACCAGCCTCTTTTGCTTGCCTCCTGATCTTGGCAGTGTTCCACGCAGATGAGCTGGCACAAATGCACCCTCAAGGTGTGGGGAGGGTTTTGAGTGAGAAATGATGGGGGTCTTACATCTCCAGAGATGAAGTTGCTATGTATCTGCACTTGGTGGCAGACCCTCTTCTCAAAGAGCCAAGAGGTCTCTGTGTACTTTGGCCTTTTCTCAGTCTGTTTCAGGCTTTAGTTTAACTCTCTGATAAAGTTTCTGAGCCATCTCATCCCATGCCACATGTAGTGATCTGGGAGTTATACAGTAGGAGCGGTTACACTTTTGGTGCTTGTTACAGAAGGGAAATGCTGATTCTTTACTGCCTGGGGTTTGCACTTCCCTGGGGTAACACTCACTACAGTGCCTGTCTCTCTATCCAGTCTTCGGCTTTGTGTCAGTCCAGTCTGTGATTCTAAAATTGGGAACCGGAAGGGTGTAGGGCTGATGGTGAAAGACAGGCTTTGGGAGGCTTGGCATTCCATTGCCCTCTGGAGAATGGCGCTTGGGTGTGAACTTCCACTGTCTCACTGATAGGGCAGAAGACCTTGTCTGTACCACCTAGACTTCTTCTAGTAAAGCCTTCTAATAATGCATGTTTTCCAAACTCACCCAGAGAGCTAGGCAATGTAACACATATAACAGAGTAAATGTGCAGCTAGCTTTAGAATTGGTTTTATTGATTCTTTCTCCCCCATTCCAGATTGTATTAGTAAACTAGCAAATGACCTAGTTTAATGTCTCTAACATTTTGGGTGGAAGACCATGGCTCACTTAGTATGCAGGTTTCAGAGTGAGGAAATGAACACTGGCCTGGGCCCCGCCCTTTCACAGTACATCCACCCACGTATCAAGCGTATGTCATAGATAGTGACTTACTCAAGGGTTGCATTCATTTCCGTCTGAGACAGTGTGCCCTGTGATTCTGGATGGACATCCCCCTAGTGTCTGCTCATAGATCTCACAATTTACTGTTGAAATCAATCCTGGCTCTCTGTACTTCTCCCTTGGTGACCTTTTCTGTGTGGTTGCTAAGGACCACTTTGGTGCTTCTTGAAAAGAAAATGGGGCTAGAGGTGTCTCAAGTGAGCAGATGTGTGTTCTCATCAATATCAACAAATTCTGAGCGGCATTTGCAGAAAGGTATCTAGTGTTATTGACTATTTTCTTTGAAATTTCTATTTTATCATTTTTATAATGTGCATGTGTATGTTTATGCGTGGGTATATGAAGGTGTGCATGCAGTTGCCCGTAGAGTCCAGAAGAGGTTCTCAGATCCCCTGGAGCTGGAGTTATAGGTGGTTGTAAGGCACCCCACATGCATGCTGGGAGCTGAGTCCAGGTCCTTTGTGAGAGTGGTATGCTCATAACCATTAAGCCATCTCTCAGGCCTTCTTATATGGGAATAAGTTGTGTAGGTTTTGGGGCATTGCTTCTCTATCTGTAAAATGAGGAAGTTGGATTAGAGAAACATGTGAAAGCTTCATCAACATGAAATCCCTCTGATCACTGAAACTGAAAAGCTTGTGGTCTGGGCTTTGGTGCCTCTTGAGTATCTGCTTAGTTCAAGGCTAAAGCATGTTCTATTCTTTCCTCTGGAATAGGAAAGATTCTTGTCAAGGACAGTACAGAAGTAACATATAAAGACATCAACTCGGAAAGACTCACTAATGACTTCTCATCCCCAGAGCATCCAAACCCTTTGAATTATTACAGCCTTTCTCTTTCTTCAGGGCTACATATTCTTAGCCAGTTTGTTTTGGTGATATATTAATTAACAACACCTTGTTTCTTCATAAGACAGTCCTCCAATTTATAATTATTTTAGTTCAAGTTTTTCTACAAAATTGTCTGAATATGTGCAGTTTTTGACTATGTTCTTGTTGAGGCCGAGCAAGTTCATCCTATTGGGTAATGACTGATACATTTTCCTTTTTTTGTATATAGTTTAGTAAACAGCCATAGGTCATTGTGTTTACAGTTTGTTATGCCCTCAAGAAATAGAGTCATGTCAGACTAGAATGACATTGGTAACCAGATTTTCCACACACACCTCAGTTTTCAGACTGTCCATGGCATTGTCCTGAGGTTCTTTGGACCAGATCCTACTCACTCACACACACACACACACACACACACACACACACACACACACACACGCGCGCGCGCAGAGGCAATGCTTGGTGTCGGCCCCAAGCTCATGGGGAACCCTGAAACTCTAGAACAGCAGGATGGGCTTTGTGAACACAGATGTCACAGTTTCCAACTGCTTGAGGGAGCCACTTGATGGGCCAGCTCTAATTGTAGCTGAAAATTGATACTCTTATGAATAGCATCACTTGTTTATAAAAGAAACAAATAGATTGCAAAGTACAGGACCTGGCCTTGGATATATGTTTGCATGTACAAAGCATGTTCAGTCCTTATCATCCTGCTCCCCTCCCCCAAAATGGGATGTTTTGTAAACTGGCCTTTTGGCAACATTGCATAAATTTAGGAATATGATTATATATTACAGATTAACCATGCTATATACAGACAAATATCAGAATGTAAAGCTAATTTTTTCTTTTCTTTTTTTTTTTTTTTTCAATCTTATTTTACATACCATTCCCAGTTCCCTCTTCTTTGAGTCCTCCTACTCCTCCACCTCCTCCCCACCTCTCCTCAGAGAAGGTGAGGCCTCCCATGGGGTATCAACAGAGTCTGCCATATATATCTCTTGAGGCTGGACCAAGGCTCTCCCTGCTGTATCTAGGCTGAGCAAGATATCCCTCCATAGAGAATGGGCTCCAAAAAGCCAGTTTATGCACTAGGGATAAATACTGGTTTCCCTGCTAGTGGTCCCACAAACTGTCTAAGCCACCCAACTGTCACCCACATTCAGAGGGCCTAGTTTAGTGTAAAGCTAGTTTCATAGCACTGGTGGCCTGCCAGTTGGATAATGTTACCTGAATTTCCTTAAATTCTGGTTGCCATATTTTGAATTTTAAGTGTTTGATATTTCTTAGAATTTTTAATGTTCAGTTGGTTATAACCAACTCTTTAAAAAGTCCTCTGGTATTGCCATTGTTATTGTCATTGATGGGAAGTTGACTTCAAAGTTAAGGGATATTATATTTTCTTTCACATATGTTTAAGTATCAAAACTTCATCAGTAGCTTTTATCAAAGTTATATGTTTTGTGTAATTATTTTCCAAAAGTTTATGCTTCAAATGGATCAAAAATATGTTGCAAACTTTAGTTTATTGTAAACATGTACTGTTCCTCACAAAATCTTAAGTCTAGAGGAAAAAAAGTTACTGCTTCCCTTTCTTTCCAAAAGATTTTTAGCTAAACTACCTCAAATTAAACAAATAAAGGTTTCTGTTTTATTTGAACACTCTCACGAAGTAGATGATATCAAAATACACTTTTCAGTGTTTTTTTTTTTTTGGCAGCTATATTATTTGATCTGTGATTAAAATACATCTTTTCTTCTTAAAGGTTTCATTTCCACCCCCACCCCCATCAGAACAATTTCTTTCTTCTGTAAAAACCCTTTAATTTTTGCAATGAGTTGTGAATTACGTACTATTTTCTGATGCCTGCTGTAGGTGGCTGAAGGGTACATTACAGCCTTTATTCGCTGTGATGTGGGGTCAAGTTAACTTTGAAATCTCCTATTTTGTGTTAATGTGCATCAATTTCCCCAGGTCTTTGTACACTTTCATTTCTGTGATCATGCCTGGTTCTTTGACATTCTGTCTTTTTTCATTGTATTGAGGTCCTGCAGGCACCATGTCAGGAGGCAGAGAGAGGATCCACGAACCTATGTATCCCTAACTCTTGCTTTCACGTCCCTCCTTAAAACACTGTGATGCTTCTGCCTAGTTTCAGGCCCTGGACTTGGCATGCAGTGACTCCCTACAGAGGGTACGGTCCTTCCCCTTGGCCTTTACTGCTACTGCTCCCTGTATTGCCAGAGAGGTGAATGCATTCCAAGGGAAAGGGTGGTTTTCGTGCCAGAAAGATCTGGATAAAGACCCTTGTTTCAGTGTTTACCTCTAATTCTGTGAACTAGTGAAGATTATTTCACACTCCTAAGCCCCGTTTCCCATTGTGTGACAGGAGCATTGTTGGGTTTGTTCATAAAGTGTCTTGAGCATTACATATGGTAAGGTGTGTGCAGTGCCACCAGGGGTCTAGTAAGTGCTTCTACTCATGCAGAGTCACAAGATTCCTGTAGGACACATTTGTGCTGGCCAGGTAGGAGGGTGTGGGAACTGGGATTGACATGTAAAACAAGCTTATTTCAAATTTAAATAAAAAATATTTAAAGTTAAAAAAAAAAATAGAATTCCTCCCTGACCCATGGCCAAACACTGGACCACAACTGGGAGTCCTGCTGAGGAGAGGGATTGTAGGAAACAGGGGAGTCAGGAACATTTTAGAAAAACCTACAGAAAACACTCATGGGAACTGGTGCTTTGACTGGCTCTTGGAAACCTATACCTCACACTGGATTGCCTTGTCCAGCCTGAATACAGGGCCGTGCTTAGTCTTATGAGAGCTTGATATGCCATGCTTTGCTGAAGCCCATGGGAGGCCTGTCCCTTTCTGAGCAATTACTAGGGGGTGGGGTGAATTGGGGGAGGGCAGAGGAGAGGGAGTGGGAGGAGAGGAGGTTGTGGTTGATGTTAAATAAATAAATAATTAAAAAAGGATTCCTATCTGCATGGGCTTTGCTGCAGTCTATGTAAGTGAGAGTTGATATTCTTACTAGGGGACCCTTGTCTCCCTATGTGACATAGTTCTAGGTACTGAGCACAAGATCCACATCGGGCCGGTGTAGTTGCTGCTTTGGCTGAGAAGCTTCCTCTGCCCTGAGCAGACAGTGTCACAATTCTTTGGTTGTGGCTTTGAGGGCTTTACTGAGTGAGGTGACTGCATTTGGGGAAGGTCAAAGCATGCTTCCTTAGCAGCATTCATAGATCTTCCTAGTAAGATGCAATTGACGACTCACAGATCGTTTCTACTGTAAGCAGTGTTGCCTAGCAATATATGTGATGCCTAGGATCTTACCTGGTTTCCAGGGTAACGAAGCTAGGTGGTTATTCCAAAGGTCAGATACTCAGGCAGCAAGGGAAAAGGTTTGTTAATCCTTGCACCCCAGTATGCAAGCAGATCCAGCCAGGAGCCTTATCTGTCAGACTTACCAAAATATACTACTTCATTCCTTCAAGAAGTCCTTGAGAAGTGTGTCAAACAGTAGGGATACAGTGCAAAGATAAAGAGATGTTTCTTCCAGTGCCCTAAATTCCATTCACTGCTGGAAGAACTTCTGTTTTATTATTCTTCAAAGGCCAGCTCAGACTTTACCTAGTTCTCTAAAGTTGATAAACAGAATATGCCCTTAGTATTCTCTGTCTGTCCACCCTGTATGTGTGGTCTGGTTTAGGAATACTCCAAGTCCCTTAAAAATAAAAGGTAGACTTTGTGTTTACATGGGAATGTGTGCTTGAGGAGGGGGCTGACACTTCCATCACATTTGCCTTGGGATCTGTACCATCACCCTCCACCAGGAGGTTAGAACCTCATTACCCTGTTATGATCTTTTCTGTGCACACCTTTGCATACTGTGTGTAGTCTATACTTCCTATTAGAGTACCTTAGGAAGGAAGAGACGGTGCATATGTGTTTGGGTGTCATATATCAAGCCAGCATGTTGCCTGGCTCATAGCAAGCTCCCAGAAATGGATGTTGAAACAATCACTTGTCAGTACCCTCCTACTTCAACAATGAAAATGCTGCTAGAGGTGCCCCATGTGAGTCAGTGCTTCTATTCCTAGCTCGGTACTGTAGAGCTATAAATTCAGTGGCTACCCTCTTCTAATCTGCCATTGCCCTTTTCTGATACTCATAGTTGATTGGGAGAATCTAAGAAAAATGGCTAACATGGTAGGGGGAAATCATTCAAAAAGAATAAAAAAATCTGTGTAATGGAATGACACAATTGTATCTTAAATATTTTAACTCTGATCTTCTAAATATACATTATTTTATTTGTATTTTACTAGTAAGAGTAACAGTAGATGTCACCTTAAGCAAATGATCAAGGCTAGCATCACCAGGACTAAGCTATGTAGATGTAGAGTGCTGTGACATGAAGTAATGAGAAGGGTCCCTCTTCTTCTCAGGAATGCTCTCCCCAAGCCTGTGGCCCAAAATAATCTAGAGACAGCATCAGAGAAGCTCTGAGTGAGGGGTATTTTATAGACTGCTGAGAATTGCACACTTAGAAACTGTCATGGACCAGAGGAGGACTGGATTATATAATGACTAAATGCAGCATGTGCCATATATTATTGTACCCTGGAACTGAAAAGATAAAAAACAAAAACAAAACAAAAAGCCTTTGATGAAAAATTGGTGAAATTCAGATAAAGCCCGAGGCTTTGACAAATCAACTGTGAATACCCAAGATGTTAATTGGAGAAAGTAGGGGAGTGGGTATGGAAACTACCCATAGAGTGTATTTGATCTCTGCAATGTTCTTGTAAATCAAAAATTATTCAAAAATAAGAGTTTATTATTAAAATAGAGAATAGGAAGGAAATCACAGAAGAAAGTATTTATTTAATGTCAATAAACCAAATTAAATAAAGAAAATAACTCTTAAGTAGTTATAACAATTGTTAATAAAAAGGTATATCCTTATTATGGAATATATTTTTGTAAATTAATAAAAATATGTTGGTATCATCTTAAAAAGTAGTTATTGACCACCATCCCCAGAAGAAATGTAGTGATCAATGTAAAAATCAGTTCTATCTCACTTGTAATTTAAGTTGCTAATTGAAGCAGCATTAAATATGCTTTTAACTCCTTTCTTGGGTGAAGATAAATAAAAGATTTTAAGATGAGGTTAACCCTATGTGGGAAAAAGCTCAGCTACTTACTGGATGTTTTCCCCCAAGAAGTAATCAGATTTCTATGTAAATCTTCCAACAGGAATATTCATCTCAGGGATATTGATTAAGGACTCAAAAGTAAATATCTGACAGTAAGGGAATGAACTAGAAAGATTTGGTATTGCCATAGACGGTTGTAGCGTCATTGGGCGTCAGGGCCTTTTGAAGAAAATGAAAACAATGTTCTGTGTCTGTGTCTTCTCAGGGCATGGCCTCCCCTGTGCGCATGCATGCAGTGTCTGTGTGTGTCTTCTCAGGACATGGGCCTCCCCTGTGTGCATGCATGCAGTGTCTGTGTCTGTGTGTTCTCAGGGCATGGCCTCCCCTGTGCGCATGCATGCAGTGTCTGTGTGTGTGTTCTCAGGACATGGGCCTCCCCTGTGCGCATGCATGCAGTGTCTGTCTGTGTCTTCTCAGGGCATGGCCTCGCCTGTGCGCATGCATGCAGTGTCTGTGTGTGTGTTCTCAGGGCATGGCCTCCCCTGTGCGCATGCATGCAGTGTCTGTGTGTGTCTTCTCAGGGCATGGCCTCGCCTGTGCGCATGCATGCAGTGTCTGTGTGTGTCTTCTCAGGGCATAGGCCTCCCATGTGTGTGCACTGTGTCCGTGGAAAGGATGGCAATGAAATCTGTCATGTTATAGTAGCTGATTTGTGAATAGTGAGCAAAGGGAGACTTCTGCCTCCTTTATGCCTCTTTGCAGTTTGTAAAACATTGTCTATAATGAGCATCTATTACTTCCATAATTGGAGGAAAATTGACACTGCAAGCATGTGGCTAATGAGCTTCTTTCTTCTTTCATGCTGATTTAATTAAAAAAAAACATTGCATTTTGTTTGGTGGAAAAAAAAAATACTGCTTTCCTCTTTCTACTAGGAAGCTCCTCAGGGTACTCCCACTGCCCAGTGAGAACTGGGGTGCTCTGGTTGGAGAGTGGTGCTGTCATCCAGACCCCTTTGCTAATAAGCCTCTACATCCACGAGAAAATGACTGTTTTACTGGGGACACTTTCTTCTTAGTGAATTTGAGAAGTGATTTGGAGCAGGTAAGGGTTAAACTGGAGTCTTAAATTGGTAAAAATATCTTCACAAAATACATGCTAACTTAGAGGTTGATTTAGATACCAATTGCCCTGCTTTTAATTCAGGTTTGTTGAAGAGATTGTTCTAAAAGCCCCAGTTCATTATTGTTTTTATTGTTATTACTATTATTATTGTTTGTTTGTTTGGGTTTTGAGACGGGTTCTCTGTATTGCTTTGGAGCCTGTAGGCTCTATAGGCCAGGCAGGCTTTGAACTCACAGAGATTCTCCTGCTTCTACCTCCCGAGTTCTGGGACTAAAGGAGTATGCCACCAACGCCAGTTCAGTCCATTATTCTTAACTGCTTCTGTTCTCCAGCTCTTTGGATGGAGGAAAGGCTTTAAGCTCAAGCAGGCCGAGGGTCTGGAGGAACAGGAGATTTATTCATGCATGGATTTGGGAGTTTGCTCACATGATGCCCTGCTCTCAGGCCATATTCTGTAATCTGTGCGTTTTAATCTCAAAAGTCCTCAGTGGAAGTGCAGGCGTGTTAGCCCGGGACGTCCACTTTACAATCAGACCCGGTTATCTTACTGTGTATACCTACCCTCTAGGCATTCACTGATTCTGGAAAAGTGAATGCCATCAAACAAAACAACAACAAAACAAAAGGAAAAGTAAAGGGGCCCCGGAGTGGGGCTGAGCTGAGCTGAGCTGTGGGCCTGTACTGATGCGCAGCAGGGCGGGGTCGGGTCACATGCTCTCCCTGTGTGGCTTGCTTTGAGAAGGCAACTCCCTCTCCCCACAAAAAAATATAAGAGATTTACATCTCTTTAAGAGGAGATCAACAGGCAGGTGTTGGTGTGGGCCTGGTAAGGAGTTCTCTGTAAGATGGCCAGTCAGCAGCAGCGATATATTTTAAAATGTCAAGGAAATCATCACTGGATGACTTTATTTCAATAGTGATTATTACTGTCAGGAACGGATGCATTGCATTTTAAATTCCAATTCGACTTCAGTTAACTTTTTGTAGCAAAAGCTGAAGCATGTGGTGGCTGGGCAGCTGGAGACCACAGGCTAGCTTGAATTACGATGTGGAAGATGAAGGCAAGGTGTCAGATATCTAGATAGCTCTCAGCTATAAATCGAGCTTCGTCTCACCATAGAAAGAAACCCTTTTGTCTGACATGTAAAGTTCTTGAGTGTTCTGTGTTTTTAACAGATGAATGATGAGAAGTTAATATAGTTTAATGTGGTAGTTAGGGTTAAATTTGTATTTTCATCTGAATTTAGAAACTTGGTGTCATGTTTTTCATTTTTATAATTATGCTACCTACTTACAAAGTATTAAAGGTAAGAGTGGAAAATAATGAAGAAAATTAAATTAAAAAAAATGGATTAAGAGATACTGAGTTTTCACTTTTAGATTAACTGTGCCAAAATATAATTCCACTTTTACAGTTGTCACTGACATTAGGCCCTTTTAAAGACTTTCTTGTCCTATTAAACGATAGTCCTGCTCTTTATATATTAAAGGAAGATTCTTGTATTTAGACATTACAGTTTCCACTGTCAGGGAGACTGGGAAGTTACTGTCATGACAAGCCGCTGTTGACAAGATTGTTTTCAAGTTGGTCTGGATGGAAGTTTCACTTTAATTGCATTTGAAAGAGTGTGCCTGTGACCAAAATAGTAACATAAATTTGGTGCGATTGCTTAAACACTGCTCTCAAGGCTCCAGTGGGAACAAGGCTGCTCTGTGCTATTGAAAACCTATTCCTCATATCACCAGCTCTAGCCATCTAGCAGGGTTTGGAAATGTCACATGGTGACACAACATCCTAATGGTATCTCTTGGGAAGCATGTGTGTGTGTGTGTGTGTGTGTGTGTGTGTGTGTGTGTGTGAGAGAGAGAGAGAGAGAGAGAGAGAGAGAGAGAGCGAGAGAGAGAGAATTCAAAGCAATATCAAGGGTCCTTAGAAACTGAAACAGCACAAAAGAAAATAAAATCACAGACAGGAGCTAATCCAGCTCTCTGAGCAGTGTTGCAATCTCTCAGATATATTGATTTAATTAGTCCCCAACAATGTCTTTCTTTGAGGTTTGCTCCGTAGAGTTCCCACAGTGTTAGGTGGCTTCGTTACACAACTTGTTTTATTATTTTCTTGAAGCTTAGCTAGAGAAAAATGCCTTGCAAAGCGGAGCTTCTCTTTAAACAGAATTAACATGCTGGAGTATTTTAATTAAAAAGAGCAGAGTTTGAAAACAGCCCAGAGAGCCTCACATGCTTTTATTCCTCCGTACCTTCTTGGATCTATAGTATTGTATCTGGGCCTCATTAGTGCAGTAATGTGTGCTTTCCATTTTCAAAAGCCCTCTGCCGCAGACAGTGTTATGACTCACTTGTCATCACTGATATTATTTTTGGGGCATCCCAACATACTGAATATTTTGCATCTTATAATGGGATAATAAAGATGGACCTCAGTCTTCCATAAGAGTCACAATATGCTTCAAAATTTAGGAAATATAAGCTGGGCATGGGGGTTATTATGCCTGTGGTTCTAGCTACACTGGAGATATAGATAGGAAGATGTCTACGTTCAGGTGTTCAAGTCCAGCCTGAGCGACATAATAAGACCTCATCTTGCAAAACAACAAAACTTAGAAAGTACAATCATTCTTCATTTTATTTTTCTAAAAGAAGCAAAATTGAATTTGGCATGAATACTGCTGGACAGTATGATCCAGATCAACTTTGTCTCTTGTTTAGGGGGGGCACTGAGTTAAAAATTTATGGGTTTGAGGAATTTCTTTTGTAAAATTCATAATGGCTACTCAATATGTTGATCATCATTATTACCATGCATGCTTCATCTGGCCCCCCTTTCTTGCTCATGTGATTAAAAGTGAATTATAGTATTGTGTCACGTCATTCCTATGTGTTTCAGTATGTGTGTAGGTCTAAAAATAGGGATAAAAATAACTACAACTGCATTGTCATACCTAATAAAATTAGTTCATATACAAGTTTTATTAATTATCTTCAAAATATTTTTAGTAGGTTTATTTGAATCAAAATCCACATATTTGGTTGAGATGATTTACTTTTTATTGATCAATTTTTTAAATGCTGATTGTCCACATCTTATATATTATAAGGTTATAATTTTATTTTTAAAAACAAACAAACCAATGATTCTCCTATTTTGTTGAAAGTTAAAACAGTGGCTAGAGAAATGACTCAAAGGTTAAGAGTACTTTTTGAAAATGACCCAAGTTTAGTTCCCAGCATCAAAACCAGTGTATGAGAGAAAGAAGGAGAAAGAGAGAGAGAGAGAGAGAGAGGAGAGAAGAGAAGAGAGATGAGAGACTGAAGAAAGGTGACTTGACCAATTATAATTGAAATGTGAAATGTGTGTAAGGGATGTAAGAGAAACTTGACAGCCCTCAACACACACACACATTCAGACATACATGAATACATGCATACATACACACATGCACATATACACATGGATACATACACACATGTACACATACACACATGCATAAACACACACATATGCACACACATGTGTGCACGCATGTGCACACACACACACATACACAACAAAACCATCATTTTCTGGTCTGAGTAGAACAAAATCCTTTCCAGCTTTGCTGTTTCAGTAAAATCTTTCATTTCAAATTCAACTTATACAAAATGACATCCATTAAAAGACAGCTTTAATACCAATTTGAGACTGGATGGGTGCTTTTACTGTTAGCCTGAACCTGGAGATCTTGACATGTATGAATGACTGAGTTGTCTGTCTTTTCAAGCTCTCTCCTTCCTTGGTGTCCATCTATTCTCCTTTGGGGGTCTTTTGCCTCAGATGGGAATGACTTTGTCTAGTTACCTGCTGTGGTGAGGCTCTGCACCTGCTGTCTGTGTTGTGCTGGATTTAAGGATGTTAACAGCTGGATGTGGTACCACCTGTGGGCCTTGCTTAGGGTCTGTGCCTGGTTAGTGCCTGAGCCGACGTGAGCAGGCTGGAAGATCTCATATTTGGTAGTTTCCTCAACTGAGACTCATGGTGAAAGATCAGAGGAGCTGCGCACATCCCAAAGCTAGAGGGAAATAGGATAGGTCTTTCGACTTATTCAAGTATGAAGACACTCATTTCAGAAGTCCCTGGGGAGAACTGCCACTGGGCATTTGTGGGTTTCTACTAATAGTGGATTCAAAGGTGGGTGAATTCCTGAGTCCTAAAGACCCCGCTAGGTGTTTCACAGTTGTTTTTGACTAACCTTCAACTAAAGTAAGACATGTATTTCTTATTATATTTTCCTTTCATTTTAATTTTATGTGCATGGGTGTGTTTGCCTGTGTGTATATATCTGCTCAGCCAGTGAATACAATGAACAGCATAGGCCAGAAGAGGGCATCAGATTTCCTGGACCTGGAGTTATAGATGTTTATTAGCCACCATGTGGGTACTGAGAATTAAACCCAGGTCCTTTGAAATACGAGCCAGTACTCTGAATCACTGAGACATCTTTCCAGCCCCAAGACATGTATTTGTTTTTTAACTTCTTCATGTAACTTGCTTTTGCTTTCACGGACTGACTGGTCCCAAGCAAGTATATACCACATCCATTTGATAATGGATTGCAACTGTGCACAACCTACTTTATGACTTTGTATGTCAAATAATACCCAGCTCATGATGGGCAGCTCAGGTCACATGGTAACTTGTTGGCACATTGTCATATGTTCTATTCCCACTAAGTGGACCAAGAAGAACTGTTTCTCAAAGAGAGAATAGTTGTCTATAGATGATGGTAGAACCTTTCTCCAAAGTCCCATAGGTTCCGTCTGTGTTTTACCTACCAGGGCCTGCCAAAGGCTCCAGACAGTTCCCTATCTGTCACTGACTCGTCAGGTACCATTGGGTCTGCTACATCACCTAATGGTAGGACAGCCCACACAGTGGTCTGGGCTTGTTGAAAATCCCTCTCCTGTTTTAGGACCTACTCAAAGCTAGCAGCTTTTCAGTATTTACCATGTGGGCTGGAGTAACAAACCCAAGTCAGGGATGTGCTGTCTCCAGAATCTAAGTAGGACCAGTAAGCATTGTGCTTTTTTATTGATAGAGAGAAGGTCCAGGCTCAGTAACTTACCCTTTATCTTTGAAGGAATATTTCTGTGTGTTCCATACTACTGGACTTCTAGAAATGTCATCAAGGTAGAAAATCGCTGAATTTGTACCCATGGAGGCCAGAGGAGGGCACTGGGATGGGATTTCCGTTCCCGGGGATGGAAATTATAGATGCTTGTACACTCCTGTGTGGTTGCTAGAAGAACAACCAGTACTCTTTTGAGCCATCTCTCCAGCCCCTTCTTCTCTTTTAAAATTAAATATTTTAAGTCAAGGTCTCCCTGTGTTACCCTAGGTAGATTGGCAGAGAGGCACACAATGAACTTGCAATCTTCCTGCCTCAGCTTCATAAATGTTGGGAATAGAGGTATATAACACCATGCCCAGCTTTCTTTGCCCATGTTTTTATGACATCAGCTACATTGTGGTATGTATGTGCACAAAGAACCTTGTGTAGATTAGAGGGGGAATTACTGTGGGTCTCAAAGAGAGCATTCTTTAATGATTAGGCGAATACCAGCGCTTAAGCAGTATCCTCCTGAACTTGGAGTTTTGAAGCCTGAGACTGTTTCAGGAACTTGTTTCACTACCCATCTCTCCAGTTACAGTGCATATCTTAAATGGAAAAAATAGAATTACATGAACAAGTTAGGTATTTTTAACTTCTGAATTATGAGTGGCTATGACTTGTAGGTTGCTTTTACATAAATTGCACTGGCCTCAGAGTCAGCATATGAATTAAACTTCCAATTCTTCTGTGTTCCGTGCACTCTGAGTTAGGATGAGTCACTGACCATTGTCCCCGTCACCCACCCTGCCTGTTCTTTAGAAGTATTAAGTGTTTCTTGTTCAGATTATTTGGCAATGTTTGGATTATCAAGAAGTGGCTAGATTTGTAAAAATCAATCTATGTATTATCCTGTCTTTGGACAGGAGAAAAATGATCTCTGTGCATGTGAATTATGCATACAAGCTAAATGTATTCCTAGTATTGACTTGAGGGCAGAGTAGAATGTAAAGTTCAATGTATACCCTGGGGATTATGTTAAAATTATATATTCTTTTTAAGAAAAGTTGAGTGACATTTAAATGACATTTTTTCTCCTCTACAGGAACCAAAAGCAAATACCAAAGTCATTTGTAAGCGTTGCAAGGTTGTGTTGGGAGAGACCGTATCATCAGGTAGGAATTTCATAATGCAGGGCTGAAATGACTGCCCTCTTACTTTAAAACAAAACACATTTTAGAGTCAGTATGTAGGGAAGAGGGGTAATTAATTTACTTGATAGAATTCATGGTTTAAAGAAAGAAACCACCTAATGTTTCACCCAGTATGCCAATGAGTCTTTCTGACTTTGCAGGTGCTAGTCAGCATTGAGAAACCATGGGTTGTCTTCAGAGTTTCATGTCCCTTTTGTAAAGCATCAGTATAGAGTTTGTACTTAGGTCCCACCTAAGGAAGTTTGGAGCCTTTTTTCGTAACACAATTTTTCTGTCTAAAGAGTTAATACCCGGAGATGGAGAAGTCGCTTTTCTTTGCTGCTATTTTGGCACTGGAAGTAGAATGGGCCTTGTAAACATACTAGGAAATACATTATGGGTTTTATACTTTGTTCCTTATTCTTCCTCTATTTTTATTTTTCATAAAGACTTCTGCATTTTATTTTACATGTATGAGTGTTTTGTCTGCATGCACACATGTATCACATGAATACCTGCAGAAATCAAAGAAAGACATCTGATTTTCTGAAACTGGAGCTTCAGATGGTTGTAAGCCACGATGTGGGTGCTGGATACTGAAACTGGGTCCTCTGCAAGACCAACAAGTACTCTTAACCACTGAACCATCTCTCCAGCCTCTTTCTCTTTTTTTTTAACTTAAAAAATAGTACCTGTGTGTGCATATACATAGAGGAATGTAGAGGTCAGAGGTCAGCGTTGTGGAGTTGGTTCTCTCATTCCGCCTTTATACAGTTTCTAGGGGTCAAAAATCAGGTTGCCTAACTTGTATGGAAGTGCCCTCACCCACTGATCCATAGCTTTGTGTCTTACTCTTTTTCTCAGTGGGTATTACGCTTTCTGCAAACTCTCCATTATACTACTTTAAAATATAATAATGAAAACGTTGGTAATTAAAATGGTGTTTAAGGATACAGTTTAAAATGTCTAGAGAGCAGCAACATGCTGTGTTTTCGTGGGTAATGAATCATCACTTTTAATATTATTAATTAGAAGATTTAATTTAAGCTATGCACTTAAGGGAAGACAGATAGTGGTTTTTGTGTGTTTGTTTTAATCATTAGAATCTTATTAGTAGTTTCTTTTTTTCTGAATAAGCAGAAAAGAAAGCATGCACTGTTAAGATACCAGTGAAAATATAATCCCTCTCCACCTCCTTCCCTGAGCATGAAAAACAACCCTTTTGTGTAACATTTAAAAAAAAAAAATTAAGACTTTCAAAGAGACATTTTATTGATGATGCCTTACCTGTGGGCATAAAGACAAATATTTAGAATGTATATAGGGATTATGCTAATGGTAAATTCTCCTCCAATAACCATTACTTCACCAACCCTGGATAGTTGGCTAGGTTTCCAGTACTAGACATGGTTTCCCTCTTGTTGAGTGGGTCCTATGTCTAATTAAAAAGCAGTTGGTTGCCACCAAGTTACTGTATCTTTAGTGTTATTGTGCCAGGCTGGTTGTGGTTCATAGGTGTCATAGCTGAGTAGGACTGTTGGTTATTTTTTTTCCCCCCTTTGGAAACTTGCAAGGCAGAGAAGGCAATTTTTGTAAAAATATATTACTAGCTTTCAATATTTGAGCAGAACCTTTCCCCAGTTAGTTGTTGGGAGTTTGACATAAGCAAATGCAGTAGATACTCTTCAGGAAGCTGGAATGAGCAATGTAAAACTGAACAAGGGCTGGCAAGATGTCCTTCAGTGGGCAACCCAAGTCTGACAACCTGAGTTCAACTTCCTTGAATATACATGGTGATAGAACAGAATGAAAACACATGTGTTGTCCTCTGACCTTCTGTGTCTGTGCATGCATGTACACAAACACACACACACACACACACACACACACACACACACACACACAAATCTCTTTAAAGATAAACATAAAACCTTTTCTAAGGAACTGATCATAATTAGTGACTACAGTGTAGTCATACAGTACACCTGTTTCACAGTGTAAGTTCAAGCCAGATAACTGGCAACTATATGAATAAACCAAAATCAAAACAAAAATCCATAGTTGATGCAGGATAGTACATGCAGTGTTTTGCACTGGTTCAAAAATTATTAGATTTTCAAAACAGAAAAGAGTGATTTATACTCATAGAAAATAGGAATTTACACACAGATGCTGAATAAGTGCATAGATTATGAAGCCAATTTGTTGAAATAACTATAGCAATACATAAAGTATTAAAAGAAAATAATCTCTGAATAATTGCAATTATCAAATTCCACAGAAAGAACAAATAGGTAAATTTAGAATTGAAAAAGTACTAGTAGATCCAAACCACATATTTGAAAAGATAGAAGATTTTTTTTTTAAAAAAATATTGACTTTTTTGGGTTAATAAAAATAGCAAATTCAAGGTATACAGGGGAGGAATAACCGAAACAAATCAATGGAAGCTCAAACTTATGAAACAGTATCAAGTGTGCAAAACACATGTAAATGGAGTCTCAGAATGGAGAAAAAGTAGAGATCATAAAAAGTCGAAAAAGCTGATGGAAATCTGGAGAAGTTTGGTGGATGACAGTAATTTTTATGAGAGGAATTTAAGGAACTGCAGGTGGTAGAAAGCTATGGAAAGGCAGCAAGGTGGAAGGGATCAAAGCACAGAGGGAAACCAAACACACAGGGACTTTGTAACACAACTACGGAGGGTCTCAGAATATGGTGACCTCCACATGACATCAGAGTGACTCACAAAGTGCTGTCAGGAAAACCCATCACCCAACAGTACTGCGTCCAGCAAAAATCATTCTTCAAAATTAAAGAGAAATTAGAACTCTTTCTAGTAAATACATAAAAATAAAATACTATAAACAGGCCTGCTCTATAGAAATTCCCAATAGAAATACAAGATGCCAGGAACAGTGTCTGGAGACACAGGAAGGAATAAAGAGTATTAAAAATGAGAAGTATATGGAGAAATTACCACAGGAGCAAAGTCAGCACAGAATTCCAGGCACACCTCCCCTGCGAGCTGCAGTCTCGTACAAACAGAAATGAAGACTACCCAGAACAGAGGACCTCGTCTCCACAAAATGCTGAACTTCTGAAAGCTGTATCCCCCATCCTTATCAAGGTGAGCAAAAGGAGAGCTGGAATAGTCAGTAGCAGACATCAGCCCTAGCCACTGTGGGAATTTGAGCTATTTAACTTAGCGTAGTCTTCCTGGGACTAGGAATGCCACTAGATGCTATCAAAGTCAGACATCTTAGTGTGTTTGGAAAAGCTCCATGATAGAATTTTTATGATTATACTGCTCTATAATTGAAGCTAGCAGTTCAGAGAGCTGTTGACAGCAGACTGGATATAAGTTAAATCAAAAATTAATAAACAGAAGAAAGATGAGAAGAGACTTTAACCCTGTACACTGAAGCAAAATGGTAGTGTGTGGAGTATAGACAGAGATGTCGAGTGAGGCAATCCACCGTGTGTTCAATTATATGTCTTTGTGAAAAGAGGAAAAAGATGCAGCATGGGCTGGGCTCGAACAAAGAGTTGCTGAGAATTCTAAGAAGCATTGGAGAGCAATCTACAGATTCAAGAGGCACAATGAATTCCAATTCGGTGAGGCCCAAGTAAGATAAATAAAAAGAAACCTGTATCTCGGTGCATCAAAGTAATGGCTGCAGAATGAAAAGCAAAGAAAAAAAATCTTAAAAGCAGCCAAGGGGAAAAATGACAGATCACCTTCAAAGAAGCAGCAGTAATGGAAATTTGAAGAGAGGGGATGGCATTGTCAGTGTGCACAAAGAAATGACTGTTAACCCCAGGACTTTGTAGCAACTCAAAGTCCCCTCAACAAAGAAACAAACAGAGCAGGGTAATACACCGCTAGCTGTTTGCTATTAAGAGAAATTCCACCTGTACCCAGATGGAAGAAAGTAACCCCAGAAAGCTCAATAGAGCGGGTGGTGGATATGGATGACAGCAAATGAGTGCCCACTGCATGAAACCAGCACAGGGGCTCTGGAATTAATAATTACCACCAGCTGGGACCTAATGGGTCACTGTGTGACATTAAATGCTTCAATTCTATATGCAATAAGACTTCAAAATAGCAAGGTGAAATCGATAGAAGTGAGAGAAAATCTATGTTCATGTTTTTAGATACATAATAATGTATAATAATCATTTCATGTTTTTATTGATTATATTTTTTTACCTTTTTTCTATGTCTTACATCAAGAAGTTGAAATTTTTTCAAAAATATACTTTTTTGGTATTATTATAAGTGGACAACATTAGTTTTAAGAAAACACCACTTTAAATTACTTCTGGTTTCATTTTGACAAGCTTAAAACTTAAAATATGCATGAAATTCCGTGCCTAAATAATACCTAAGTAATAATTTTCTTCAGTTTTTACAGATTAATTTGTTTTCAGTATTTTTATATTAATATCATCTTTGTAGTCTGGTACATATTTTACAAGTTTTCATTAAGATAAATTGGTCAGGCCAGGCAGTGGTGGCGCATGCCTTTAATCCTAGCACTCAGGTGGCAGAGGCAGATGGATCTCTGTGAGTTTGAGACCAGACTGGTCTACAAGAGCTAGTTCCAGGACAGCAGGACAAACCCACAGAGAAACCTTGCCTAGAAAAACCCAAAAAAAAAAAAAAAATTGGTCAAGGTCAAGTACTTGGTGATGATGTTAAACTATACATATCTGTCATTTTCAGTTCTGGCAGTGATATGTGAACAAACATATCCATTTCTTGTAAACATTGGCCATGCTACACTTGCCCTCTAAAAATATTTTGCTTGATGCTAAAAATTTTTCCATTTTGTTCTGTGTTTCCTTTGTTTCTAAGAGATTAAACCTTTAAATGCATTTTTTAAACATTCCAAGATGGTTATATTAATGTTTAGCAAATGTCTAGTCTGCTGTTTAATTGTTTTTACAATTGACAAAATAAGCAGAGAATCAGATTTGGTGAGGACTGTTCGTGAATACAGTCAGTGAGATTCCATGTAGATAATGATGTCAGGGTTACAGCTCTGTGCTTTGGGGATCCTAACTAACAAGCCTTCCTCAGTCACTCTTTGGTAGCTAGTCCACAAAATTGTGGAAACAAAGATCTTAATTTTGGGCTAAGACTGTGAGATCTCAACTTCCCATGTGTAACACCTTCTTGGTATAGATGCTGAGCAGACTTCACATGACCTGAAGCCTTGGGTCTATCTTTTTTTTTTTTTTTTTTTTTTTTTTTCCCTTGGTTTTTTGAGATAGGGTCTACCAGGAACTTACTCTCTGGACCATTCTGGCCTTGAACTCACAGAGATCTGCCTGTCTCTGCCTCCTGAGTGCTGGAATTAAACATGTGAGCCCTCACTGCCCAGCTTGGAGCTATCTTTTGATCAAAGATGGAGTGTCTTTTCCTTGAAACTCAGTACTTGTGGGAAATCCAATTTTATCAGTATGTTGAGTAGTTAGGGCCAGCATGTCTGTGATAGCAGTGCATTGGGAAGATTTTTAATTTTCTTCTTTTTTGTTTCCAGAAACAACTAAATTTTACATGACAGAGATAATTATTCAGCCATCTGAGGGAAGTTTTCCTAACATACCAAGGTACAAATAATGAATCAAGTTATTGTATAATTTCAAACGTGGGAAAGGACAGGCACAGTGCATTGAGGATGCATCTCTTCATAGCTGTTTGGAAAGGGATTTTTCTGTTTAAAGTCCCTGTGAGTGGCTATTAGAAAAAACAAACTACACATATACACAACTTGAAGACCTATTCTTGCTTATGTGGTGCTATAGGCATATGTATTTATGTAAATATAATTGGAGCAGGGATTTTTTTTTTTTATTCTTATGTTCCAAAATGCTGGGCACATAGGCTTTTGAATATTAGTTCTAGTTTTAATATTGACTTGTTTAAAACTGGAAACGTGTAAATGTGGAGTCTTTGGTGTTTTTAATTCGGCAGATAAGGTGTGTCTGAGTGACTTATTGCCCTGACAAAATAACTAACAAAAGAAACTCAGGAAGAGGTGGCTTCCCACAGTTCAAGAGTACAGTGACTTAAGGCAGAGAAGTAATGGTGACAGGTCCTTGAGGTAGCTGGTGACACTGCTCAGGAAGCAGAGAGTGACAAATGCTTGTGCTCAGCTTGCTTTCGCCTTCTTATTCAGTCCTTGAAGCATGAAACAGGGCCATTCAAAGTAAAGATTGGCCTTTCTACTTTAATTATTCTAGGAATTATTCAATAATCCCTTGTAGACATGGCCAGAAATTTGCCTCCTAGGTGACTTTACGTCTTGTCAAGCTATTGGTCAATATGAATTTGTCACAGGGAAATAGGTTTGGGATGGAAAATACATTAATGATAGCAAGATGAATTTTAAGAGGAATGGAACATACACAAATACGTTCTAATTTACCAAAGTGCGTGTTAGTACAGACTTGGCAGAAGTAGATGGTGGTCAGGGAAGCTTGGCACATGCTTTTAGGTGCCTGTGTGTCCTTCTGACCCATCTTGTTAGTAAGAATTATGAGAGGTACATGGTGACAACGGCTTTCTGTACCAACAGGTCTCAGTTTGTTCAGAGTGTTGTTGCCCAGTGCCTGGTGGAGCTTTCCTCTACAAGAAGCACTTTTAGATTCACGATTCAAGGTCAGGATGGCAAAGTGTACATCTTGGTAAGAAAATTTCTCATCCACTTTTTTTTTTTTTTGTGCCCTTGTAATGCAGGGTCTCAGAAACTTTTTAGCTTCTATCATTTTATTTTCTTACCTCTCAAGTCTAGAAACTAGAACATGACCATAAACTGAACTTCTAATATCAGGTAAGCTATAAATCATGCTTACTTCATGTAAAAATACACTACTGGGTATGTCTGTATCCTGGGTTCTGAACAGAAGGAAAACTCAGTTTCTGTCCTTTAGAAGCTCATACCCAAAATGATGCTTTTTTGTGCTTGGAGATGACTCCTCTGGACAGTTTCACGTTACTCTGTATTATTCTTCTTTCTCTATATTTGTTACTTTTAGCATTAAAATGTGATACTCCTGTTTATATATGTATGCATATATACACATATACATACATACATATTTTCTACCAATATCCAACTATGTCTAAGAATTCTCACAGGTACTTGAGTTTTTAGTGAAAATAAAAACAGTATTACATTATTAGCTTTTCAGTTTCATGTAACACTGAGGATTGTTTCTTGTTGGCATAAATGTAGGTTGAATTCTATTTTTTTTGTTTTTTGTTTTTTTGTTTTTCAGAACAGGATTTCTCTGTGTGGCTTTGGAGCCTGTCCTGGAACTCACTCTGTAGACCAAGCTGGACTCCAACTCACAGAGATCCACCTGTCTCTGACTCCCGAGTGCTGGGACTAAAGGTGTGCACCGCCACCTCCCATTTGAATTCTATTCTTTAATAACTAGAATTCTACTGTATGGTCACTAAAGCCAGTGCTACAAGAAAATAATCACTACACATGCATTTGTTACTTTTTTAGAAGTAGACTTTCTAACTTAATTCAATATTAGAAAATGCATATTTTCAGATCACATAACTGTCACTCTATGTAAACTTTGTATTAATTTATCTTTTCTAGTGGGCATTCTTGTGCTCTACACATCTAGCGACCAGGCCGGCGCACCCTTTCACAGCTGCTGACTATGGAAGGACTCATAGTCCTTCTGTAGAGACTTGTCCTTGATGACAGGCTTTGCCTTGCTCAGAAAGTTGCTCTCTCTCCCTCTCCCTCTCCCTCTCCCTCTCCCTCTCCCTCTCCCTCTCTCTCCAGGGTTTTCTCTGTGTAACAATCCTGTCTGTTCTGGAAACTCTCTTTAGATCAGGCTAGCCTTGAACTCACTGAGATCTGCCTGCCTCTGCCTCCTGAGTCCTGGTATTAAAGACATGCACCACCACTGTCTGGAGCTCTATCTATTAAGCATAGTGCAAACACATAAATTTACCCACCTTCCTATTAGTTACATAGACATTTTCATTGTTCATCTCATGCCTATATTCTCATTCTATTCTTTACCTGTCATGTTGGACCCTTCACTGATGTCTGGGAGCTCCAAATATTTCAGACTGATTATAGTATTGACATTTGTATAGTAAATGGTTTTTCCTAATGACTTCCTAAAAAACTTCATATGGCTGCTCTCCCAAATGTTCTACTGTTTATTAAAAATAAGAGCCTACGCTATTTACACATTATATATGTAATTATGTTCTCCTGTTACTTTTTGTGGGTTTTTATAGTGGCAATGTACAATATAGATAAGAATAGCATTATTCTCTCTCCTCTCTGGACTTCTCTTCCCAAACTTTAGCTCTGGATTTTAAACTCAGACAGTTTGGTGATTGAACAGCTGAGAAGTTCCAGGTGTGTCAGGAAGTTCCCGCTGTTGGAAAATGCATCAGAAGCTGACTCCCGCTCTGCCTGGAATGCAGTCAAAGTCCTCTACCAGCCCTGCATCAAAGGCAGGAATGAAGAGTGAGTTGTGCTTTTGTTTTCTCTGTTGCTCATTGCGTTTCAACTGTGATCTCCATGTTGGCACTAAGAAACCCACGAGTTAAGCGCTCCTTGATGCTGCTAGGAGTCGCACTGCTGAAAATGATGCTTTGCAAACAGACAGAGTTATTACAGATAATTCCGACCAATATGCAGAGAACTTGCTTTTCCTGAAAATAATTAGCTTTTTTATTATAATCTCAGCTGTCTGTACAGATGGGCTGCTATGCTAAGATGGTATTCAACAACTCATCACTGCCTAAAGCTCTTTTCAGGCTTTCAGGGCACAGCAGTGGGAGAATAGTCCCCACCTTGGGTTTGCCTTTGTGACATGTGGAAGCGGACAAGAAACAGAACAGTAAAAACGAGAGAGGATTTTTATGCCTTCTGTGTGCCCAGTGTGCATCTGAGCCTCCCTGAGCATCCAAATCACTTAAGACTAGAACAGCCTTGTGAAGTAGGTGCTGTCTTGACCCCTGTTTTAAAGATGAGAATTCTCGGATGCGGTGGATGAAGTACATACAGGAAAGTGGAAGAGAATGAGGTAAATGGTACTTAGGAGGTTGCAGCTCTGTGCCCAAAAGCGAGAGGTTCTTCAGTTAACGTGGGTAGTAAATGGAAACTCGGAGGCAGTGAAGCGGTAGGGCATGTCTGGTGAACCACAGTCTGCAAAGCAGGAGACATCAAGGATGTTAGCGGGACAGCTGGAAGTTTATGCTCCTTCTTTGCTGTCTGGTGCATTTGATCAAATGTGTGCTAGGAAAACAGAGAGATCCCAGTGTTTTTCTCTGAGTAGTAAATAAGTGTTTTAAAAATTAGTGCTATTTTTTTTAAATTATGCAAGCAGTACAAACCATAAAAGATTCAAACAAATTGAAACAAACCATGAAAGCCATGTTCTTTTCATAAGTAAAAGGTGTGTTTGTGTGTATACAAACAGTTCTTGCTTGTATTCATTTTGCATGGACATAATTTGAGTGATATGCATATGTCTTTCACACTTAACATGAATAAAACCCTTTCATTGGAGGGTCTTCCGTGGCAGTGCATGACATTGTATGAAACAGATACATGGCAAATAGTTTAACCATTTTTTTTTTTTTTTTTTTTTTTTTTTTGTTGTTTCATAGATATTTGCATTCTTGGTTTTTTTTTTTTTTTTTTTTTGCTGTTACAATTAATGTAGAACTGTATACTGTTGCATAGTTGTTTTCTGATTATGTGTATTTTGTTTTAATAAGAGGGGTTTAAAGAGGTTGACTTGAGAGTTATGTAAATTAAAATTTTTTGATGAGTAATCTCAAACTGTGTTGTAGAATGACCCTGCAAACTTATACTGTAATCTGGAGTTACCTTTTTGCCCATTTCCCTAGGTTTTTTATTTTTATTTTTTATTTATTTATTTTCAAAGACAGGGTTTCTATGTGGCTTTGGAGGCTGTCCTGGAACTAGCTCTTGTAGATCAAGCTGATCTCAAACTCATAGAGATCCGCTTGCTTCTGAGTGCTGGGACTACAGGTGTGTGCCACCAATGCCTGGCCTCCGTTTCCCTAGTTTTATCAGGACTAATATTTAGATTTTTGTCCACATGATGCTGTTTAAACAATAAAGGGTCAGTTGATTGTCCTTATGTATTTTTGGGTATATTCGAGAACAAGCTTCTGTGTTTTGTGCTTTGAGATTTTGGAGTGGCTAATAGATGGTCAACTTTTAAGCTTCATATTGGTTATGTGCTCTGTTGATGTGTGCATATACCATTACTTAGATTTGGGTAGTCCTATTGAAATCCCTTTTATTTGTATTTCGTTTGAAACATAGTCTTGAGAAAGATGGTTTAAATCTCAAGCAGTATAAATATAGAAATCATTTTTTGTGTTGTTCTAATGTTAAGTTTTGCATTTTATAATTTGAAGGTATGTAACTTGAATGCATGTTTGTAGCATGACCATCTACCCAGTTGTATACTTCATCAATAGGGGAGTTGTTTCTTTCCCACTAATGCTAATTTTATTCCTAGTTGGTCTCATGTTACATTGCTATATTTATTGCATTTCTTTATTTACCCATACTGTGTCATTTTATTGTGTGTATGTTTCATTAATTTGTACTTTGTAAATGGCATGTTTCAAAGCTTGAATGAGGGTGAATTCATCTATGTTTTATTTGATTTTATTACCCATGTCTTATCTTAAATAGCATTCATGCTCTTCAGTGAAACAGAGTTTCACAACTCTCCTAATATTCCCTTCTCAGGTGTGCCTTTTGCTGTGTTGAAAACTGCTGTAATTCTGATGATTATGACATTTCTTCACTTATCCAGCCAAAGTCTGCCCCCTTAGCTTGCCTCTGATGCATTAGATCATTAACATATACATATATATATAGTTGTATATTTCTATAGAAATTAGAAAGTTTTTGCTTTTTATAAATGTTCATAAACATACCACTATACATTTTTGCAACGTTTCCTGTTCAGTATTCCTTGTTTTACTTGAAAAGGTGCATATCGTTTGCTTTTTGTTTTAATTTTTAAAATTTATTTTTATTTATGTGTATAGTGTTTGCATGTAGTTGCACCCTGTGTGTCCCTGTGCCCAAGGAGGTCAGGAGAGGGAATCAGGTTCATTGGGACTGAGGTTAAAGATGGTTATGAGCAGTCTTGTGGGTGCTGGAGACAGAATCTAGGTCTGCAACAAGAGCATCAGGTGCTCTTTACCCCTGAGTCTTCTCTCCAGCCTCTGGTGCTTTGTTTTTGTTCCTAGAGGTGGGATCACAGTCAGATACCAAGGCTGGCCTGGAACTCATAGTCTTGTCCAGACTGGCCTTCAATTCTCGATAATCTTCCTGCCTCAGCCTCTCAGAGTATGAGGACTATAAGTGTGAGAAATTAATGGCTTGATAAATTATACTTTCTAGTTGTTCTTCTAAATTTGTACTTAAGTCTTTAATATCTAAAAGTATCTTACACCTGATCTGTCTCTCTGAAAAAACAATTAAACACCTTTTTAAGACGTTTAGTGTGTGCACACTTGCTGCAACATGTTAGTGGAGATCAGTGGACAACCTATGGGAGTCAGTTCTTTCCCTCCTATGTTCTGGGGATTGAACTCAGGTCCTCAGACTCAACAGCAAGTACCCTTACTTAATGTGATATCTCTCCAACCCTGAAAACCCATTAAGATATTCTCTTTGGTTGCCTTAAGATTTCATATAGGTGTATAGAATGGGCAATTGTATACAGAATTTTGTCAAATCATACCTCTTCCTAAGGATATGATACCCTCTTGAGACTAATAAATTATTCTTAAACCTTCCTATTTCTATTTTCTCTATTCACTTCTTTCTTCCTATATTAGCTCTTTTTTTTTTTTTTTTTTTTTTTTTTTTTTTTGCTGTTGTTGTTTTTTGAGAGGAGCATTTGAGTTTAATACCTGTTTTTCAAGGCTTTTCTCTTCCCATATGTTTGAGGGATTGATTAAAATTCCTGTGCTAGAAGGGATACTCTGGTTGCTAATGCTGCCTCTGTTCTGCCCGCCTTGCTTAAGAAAGAATTCAATGCAGTGTCTTTGTACAGTGACACAGGGTATTTCTTTGGTAATTGTAGTTCCTGTGCTGTTGACCATAGATTCTTGGTACCATAGCCTGCCTTCGTAATTGAGAGATAAAGAATTAGGAAGGGTGGGCCAGTAAAGATGCAATGTGAACCACTTTGCCATTATTGTTTTGTTTTATTTGTGTTTTGGACAGGGTCTCTTATAACCAAGGCTGACTTGGAGCTACATTCCTGTCTATAATCCTGAATGTTGATATTAGAGTATGTACCGCCATGCACAACTCATTTTTCTTTTGGTAACTTTTGAATATTAAAAATGATCCCACTATATTGATAAATTGCATATTCATTGTGTGAAGGATCTTTAAATTTGGAACAGTACAAGAATTTCATGAACTTTCCCTGTTATTTTACTCATTCTTTGTTTTAAATCTTTGTATGTATGTGCGTGAGAGTGCATGCCATGGCACATGTGTGGTAGCCTTGGGTGTCTGTTCTCAACATACCACCCCCTTGTTTTTAGTTAGGGTCACTGATTGTTTTGCCACTGCATATGCCAGGCTCTCTTGACCCCTTCTCTCATCTTGCAGTAGGAGCTCTAAGATTAGAGACAAACACTACCATGTCCAGTTTTCTGGATTTGGGGGTCAGAGTTCAGGTCTGCACACTTGGACAGTAAGCACTTTGTTCACCGAGCCCCTCTCAAGCACTATTTTGATGGGGGATGTCCTCCTGTATATATATATTTCTCTTATTGGTTGATAAATAAAACATTGTTTGGCCAATGAGGCAGGAAGATAGGCAGGGTGAGGAGACAAGGAGAATTCCGGGAAAGGTGTGCAAAGGGAACCCGTCAAAAGGAATCACCATGTAGGGACTGGGATGAAAGGAAGACACAGGCATTCTTTGGTAAGATGAGACCACTTGGAAATACACAGATTAATAGAAATGGGTTAATAATTAAGATAGAACTAGCCAATAAGAAGCCCTAGCATCTATTAACAGTTTAATTAATATAGCATCTCTGTGTGTTCATCTGGAACTCAAAATCAACTGTGAGACCAGGCTAGAAAGACATTCCAGCAATACCATTTCACTCATTCTTAATGCATACCTGCAGAATGGGAATTCACTAACATTAATCAGTTGTGTTTTGCTGTGTTTGATTAGAAAAGAAAAAAGTGCTTCCAAATAACTTGGGGGACAGTTCATGTCTAGTAAACGACTCTGATTCCTTATCTTGTCTATTGAATAAAATAATTTTTATTGTCTTTTTCTTCCTTCATTTTCACCCCAAAGGTCAACAGGAATCTTGTAATTTGGCTAGCATAATCTGAGTGATTTATTTTTTAGTCTTTTAAGCACGTTATTGTCTTTTTTGGGGGGGTATAGCTGAGCAAACTGTAGACTCTCTGGCATATTCTTGACA